CGGAATGGGCATATGGGATGGACTAGGCTCAGTTTGCTCTGGTCTAAACCAAATAGAAGAAAAGAAAAAGTCTTTTTTACCTCCCTGAACTATTGGGCGGGTTCGCTTTTCCTCCCTCAGCTCTAAAACCGGGCATTTAGACTCCCTGAATTGTTAAAACCGGACACGAAACCTCCCTATACACGAAACCACCGTGGTTTTGCCCGTGACCGCGTCCGGCATTCGTCATTTGAGTTTTCTCCTTCCTCGCTTCATTCCTGTGTGTCGGCTTGGCGGCTATGGTGAGCGGAGCTGATGGCCTTGAGCCTGTGTGTGATGAGTGAGGCTGGCCATGAGCACCGAGACCGAAGCTCGAGCTCGTCGCTTCTGGTCGGGTGAGTGAGATTTGGTATTTCGTACTCTTATGGGTTCTGATTTTTGCTAAAGTAATTTGGTCAAGGCAAGATAAAATCCAAAGTGTTTGCAGATAGCTAAAGGACATTAAGTCCGGTACATCAAATAAAGCATAATGACACATAGTCCGGTACTCAAATAAAAATCACTGCCTTGGCCGAGTCCCAAGGTGGAAGGAGAAGCATTGGCACATTGTGTTTCTTTCTTTGGTTCTTGAGCATGGTGTTTCTTTCTTTGGTTCTGAAAGCAGATGCTTGAGCAAGAGCTCTAGTCTCCACCTTTGCCTTCGCTCTAGTGTGAACCGACCTAGAGAACTCTCGTGAGGCTACAAAGATAGAAAATGTGCTCATGTGAACATATTGACAATTGGTGTGTAAACTTATCAAACATTACTAGCAAGTGTATTACTGTTGCCTAATTGTAGTTGTTCCATCCGAACTTTCGGATCTGTGAGTCAAGGGTTTGTGTAACTCTTTCTTTTCCTTGCATTACTATCTTGCTGGGTAGATGGCACACGCACTAAGACATTTGTATTTTGAGATGCACGAGGGACAGCAGGTTGATTAGAATGAGCAGGACCTGATTGAGCAGACTGTGCACCACCTGATTGAGCAGAGTGTGCACCACCTGATTGAGAAGAGTCAGTCCTCCTTCCACAAGTGGAAGCATTGTGTCCAGTGCCTTTATATTTTCCGCACCTAATCACAGTGCCTACCCTAGACATTTTTGTTGCTTTGGGCTTCTCAGTTGGTTCTCTTGTCCTCTCTTTCTTAGGTCGCCCAGGCATTTTAATAACCGGTGCCCTCAACTTTGGCCTGTCAGATATGGGCCAACCTTCAATCCCTTCCAGAGGTTCAAGACAATGAGCATAAGTATTTTTGAAGTGTTCTACTCTGAAACAATCTGCAATATAGTCATCCAAAACATTGGTTTTCCAGTATATGCTGGATATTGCATGACAACATGGTAAACCAGCTAGCTGCCAATACCTACAAGAGCATGTCTTTTGTTGTAAGTCAACTGTGAACGTATTGTCAAAATGTTTCACTTCAAACTTGTCTGCTCCATTACTAATAGCATGACAGTAGCCAGCCATTGTAATGTAAGTGTTTAGCTTTCTCATGATATGTGGGCATATGGCACCCATCCACCTATCTACTTTGGTCCCTTGCTCTTGAATCCTAATCATGACCTTCCTTCTGATTGCCTCAAGCATAGTAATGACCTTCTCTAGTGTCTTCTGCTAGCTTGGCTCTTGCATGGTTGAAAAGCATAATGTAGGGAGCCTTGGCACATGCCCAGAATTTTTTCTGCCATTCTTTGTCACTGAACTCTTTTTTCCAATTGGCATAAATATGTCTTGCACAGTTCCTGTGCTTCGCCTCTGGTGCCCATTTCTCAACAGCATTGAGAATACCTTTTTGCTGGTCTGAAATGAATACCCAGTCCCTTCCATCACCAACCTGAATGTCTCTGCACAGCAAGTCACAGAACCAGTCCCAATTGACATTATTTTCCTTGTCTACCACAGCCCAGGCAATGGGATACATCTGATTATTTGCATCTCTTCCAATAGCACAAAGAAGTTCCCCACTCAGTGCTCCTTTAAAAAAACAACCATCTAATCCAACAACTTTCCTACACCCTACCATGAATCCCTCCTTGCAAGCATTAAGGCATATGTACATCCTTCTAAAAATTGGTGGCTCCACATCATCCTCCTTGTTAATTACAACCGTGCTCCCAGGATTGCTCCTTAATAATTCCAGTTGATAGTCATAAAGCCTTTCATATTGTCCCTTTGTCGCAGCAAAGGCCTTCTGAATCACCATAGCTTTTGCTTTCTTCACCTTGGATATGCTTACATCTGCAAACATTTCTTCTTGGATAGTACTCTTCATCCTCGTGATATTCTATGTTGGGTTTGCCATGATAAATTTCTCGTACTTCTCAGCTATCCTCCTGGCAGTGACATGCTTGTTGTCCATTCTAGAAGGACAAGTATACTGATCAATGAATGTAGCAATCTGCCAGCTATCTGTTCTTGAATTCTTAGAACACAAACAAACTCAAGGACAATGCTGCCAGTCACATTTAGCCCTTACCCTTGTTGGTTCATCTTTTATGAACCTTATTACCTTTCTGTTAGCTAGACAATATTTTATGATAGCTTCCTTGAACTCCTTCTTGCCACTGAACTTCATCCCTATTTCAAATATAGGAACTGAAAATTGTGTATTGAACCTCCTATAATGACTTGGCTTCCTTCTCAGTTCCCCATCAGTACCAACCTCTTCAACTGACTCTTCATCATCACTTTCCTCATATGCTGTTCCATCTTCTTCCCCTTCAATGACTAAATATTCTGTTAGCTGTGATCTGTTCTCTGCAAGAATGATATCATCTATTGTAGCATGTTCTCCTTTCTTCAACTTCTTCAGTTCTTTGAATTTCTTTAGAATCTCAGCGACTTCTTCATCATCTCCAGATGAGCATGTATCTCCTATGAAATCACTGTCATAGCCTGAGCTTGAATCTTCTTCCTGAATTGCTTTGCCTTTCTTCTTGTATGTACCCTTCCCCTCATCGTATAACATATGGCTCTTCAACATATATATTTGCAACTTCGCTGTCCATAATGGAGTCAGACATGAACTGGCAAACTTTGTCATCCACCAGTACATGCAAACCATCATGTAGCTCTTTACCAGGAAATAACCAATGCAATAAAACTCCATCATGTACATTGTAATGATCACGCAAGCGTCCCACAACCTCTGGCAGAGAAATCTTGTCTCGATCAATATAAGACATTGCAGCCTTCCCCCGAAAATAATGCAGTATCTTGCCATCTTTGAAAAACTCTCCACCAAAACGGAACCTCACAGCCAGTGAGTCCGACACATCCATGGCCTACATACATTAAAAAATAATACGCCTTCATTAATCCCACTGAAGGGCAGGCCTGGTGCAATGGTGAGAGCTGTCTCACTGAGTCACTAGGTCATGGGTTCGAAGCAGTCTCTCCGTATATTTTGCGGAGGAAAGGCTTGCCTCGGTTTTTCCCTTCCCCAGACCCCACTCACGTGGGAGCCTTCGGCACTGGGTCTGCCCCTTCATTAATCCACTAATGTAGATGCAAGTAAAGAGCACCCAAAAAAACTGGTAGCTCTCGTCTCCTATGCCTAATAAACAATGGATCTTCAAAAAGCAAGTCCCAAGGAACCCGAATCCAAGAAAAAAATAATTATTCTATGCCTAATTGACTCATTAGGAGTGCGATTCCACAAACCTGGTGCGCTTTGTGGCAGCAAAGGCCTTCTGAATCCCCTGGACACCCACCAGATCCGCCTACTGCAACGGCACATGCGCACCACCCACCAGCCGCCCGCCTCCGAGGGAAAAGAAAAAGAATCCCAGCTAGGGTTATAGGTGGTCACGGGCACATTTTGACCACCCTCAATGGCCTGACAAGCGGTACAGGGAGGTTTCGTGTCTGGTTTTAACAGTTCAGGGAGTCTAAATGCCCGGTTTTAGAGTTGAGGGAGGAAAAACGAACCCACCCAATAGTTCAGGGAGGTAAAAAGGACTTTTTTCTAGAAGAAATGTTTTAGAGTGGCTTGAAGTGTAGGCCTGAGATTAGCAGATCACCACTGATAGTTCCATAGTTTCTTCATAGAGGCTTGAAGCCAATAGATGGCTGTGTGACAAGTCGACTAGCGACTACATGATGCAGTAAGTGACTCAAAAGACACTGACAACATTCTTATGAGTTCGACGATAATTTAGGAGGGAGCAAGACGAATTTAGAATAGGATGCGCAAGGTAATAAACTAGAAGAAGCCAAGGAATTAAAGAAATTGTGAGATACTTGGGCAATAATGGTCTTATTGAGTATTGGAGCTCAACACAAAAGAATCTTAAGGCTACCTTGATTTGGCATTGACATAATTTGCACAGATGGGGTAGGGATTAGAAGAGAAAAGAAAAACGATGGTTGTATGAACCAAAAAAACAAAACTGTTTGGAAGAACATATTTTCAAGTAAACAAAAATGAAAGCATATATAAAAAAAATGCCAACTATCCACTCTATTTGCGTGAGCTATCTTGCTAATTAGTTAGAGCGTCTGCAAGGGACTCTGCATGTCTCTTTATTACAAAATTTAAAAAAAAAATAAAAAAAAACATGATTCAATAGACTTTCTGAGACATTCTCTATCTCTTCCGTTCTCCGGTATGGCTCTCTAAATAGAATATATGGTAGCATTCTCATGATTTTTTTCACAGAAGAAAAATTATGATAAACTATCAGAGTATAGCGAATAAACATTAAAGAGTCCTTGGAAGACAAGAGAGATATAAAAATGTACTCTATTCATTAAATAATTGTCTAAGTTGAGATATAGAGATTGAAATTCATAGACTTCTGGAGTTGCTCTAATGTAAGTACAACTGTGTCTCCAACCAATTAAGCAGCACAAAACACAACCTGCAGGAGATACAAAAACAATCCATGCAGGTGACGGAACTGAAACAGGAGCAATCAAGCTTGTTACTGCAGCACTGCACCATGCCATCCTGCTCGCATGGCATCTGTATTGTATTCTATAGGCGCGCGAAGCCGAAGAGGTCGGAGAAGGCGAGCCAGTCGAATCCGCTCCAGGCGCCGGGGCAGTAGCCCATGAGGATGTAGGCGAGCTGGCCCAGCACGACGAGCCACCAGGACGCGTTGAGCGCGACGGCGAGGCCGACGAGCCCCATCCGCATGGGCCCGACGAGGACCCAGCTGAGCGCGACGTGGAACACCAGCGCGACCGCCGACACGGCCACCATGGCCATCACCTTGCTCTGCGCCTTCAGGAACTTCTGGATGGGGAAGTTGAAGGCGTAGGCGAAGAGCTGCGGGATCATGTAGAGCGCGAGGCGGCCCGCGTGGTCGGCGATCTCGTCGTCCTGGTGGAAGAGGCGCAGGATCGGGGTGGCGAAGAGGTAGAGCGGGAGCGGGAGCATGAGCACGGCCATGGCGTTGAGGATGATCCACGACCGCTGCAGGTACACGCCCAGCATGTGCAGCTGCTTCGCGCCGTACGCCTGCCCAGCGTCTCCAGCGCGCTCCCCATCCCCAGCTGCAACAGAGTCTTTTTTATCCGTGCATGTGTGGCTGGCCTGCTCTAGATTACTGATCTTGTTTCGTTGACTTAACCAATTACTTGATGAGTATTTTTGACGGCAGGTGTCTGGCACACCGACGATCGTGCCAGGCGCCAATGGATCGATGTACTCCACTCGGGCATCGAGAATGGATCGAGAATGCGCAGTGGGTATAGTATACAGACCATGATGGCGAAGGCGAGGCCGGCGATGACGTTGTTCTCGGTGGAGATGGCGTCGAGCTCGAGCGTGGTGAGGTGGCCGGCGAAGACCTGGGTGATGGCGCCGAGCGAGTACTGCGTGATGGACGTGATGATGGCGGGGCCCGCCAGGTACCAGAGCTTTCGGTTCTCCTCCGCCGCGTGCCGCAGGAACGACCCCACGCTCAGGATCTCCTCCAGGTCCTCCTCGCCGTCGCCGTCGCTGCCTCTGCCGCTAGTACCGTTGCCGGCAGCCAACAGCGCCTCCTTCAGAAGCTCGTCCGCTGCTTCGCTGCGGCCGCCGCTCGTCACCGCCGCCATCCCGGCCTCTACTTCCGGTGTGAAAGTGAAATCAACCAGTCAGTCTCTCTCACGAGCTCCGACGCTCTGTGGTGCTCGCTGTGCTCTCTGTTAGACTGTCTCGGACAACGTAACGCGACCCATACTCAAAACGCGTGGTGCAGAGTGTTTTAAGGCAAAAACACACCCTCCAACGGAATAGGCAATCGCATGATCTATTTTGCGTCCGAGGCGACGCGGAATGCAAAAAAGCGTCATCTCTCCATCTCTTTGCGTCTCCACGCAGCGCCAGACCCACCACCACGACCGGAGCCAGCTCAATGCGGCGGCCGCGTGGTTGCTCCGCCTCGCCGCGGCCAGCATCGAGGGGGGCACGCGACATGAAGAACCCGCTCCAACGTCGAGTTGCACGCCGCGCCGCCGCCGCCGCGGTACGACCGGAAGGAGAAGACCCGGGCGGCCCTAGATCCGCGCCGCGCCCTCACCGCCGCCGAACGTGGACGGCCCGCGCTTGCTCCAGAAGCCACGGCCGCGGGAGGTCCCGCCGTCGGTCACGCCTGCTCCAGAAGCGGCGGCCGCGGGAGCGCGAGATGAGGGAGGCGCGCTTAATCTAATGGACCAAACAGAAATGCAGTGAAGAACAGCCATATAGTACAGAACGGATCTGAAATTTTTGGCAAATAAAAGCAAAAAATGCAAGGATCTGTCACCGTAAAAGAAAGAAATAGGTAAGATCCGAGAGAGCAAAATATATTGCAGTGAAGAACAGCGATAGAGTACAGAACGAATATGAAATCTTTAACAAATAAAAGCTAAAATCATCCGGAGATGAGGATGGAGAGGATCAAATCGAGGGGAAACAAGGAAACGGCAGCAGTGTGTACTAGACCTAATCTTTCAGAGCTCGTGGATGGAGAAAGAGAGAGAATAGAGAGAAAGAATGGAGCAAAAATCAGAGAACCACCGAGTTTGCATATCTATCGGATTCAAGAAGAACAACCAAAAACATAGGGAGCAGAGCAGTGTGAGCTCGTGGATGTAGAGAGAGAGAATCATGGAGATGAGGGGAAGCGGCAGCAGGGGATCGAATCTTCAGAGGTCATGAATGGAGAAAGAGAGAGAATAGAGAGAGAAAGAACGAAGAGAAGAGAGATACAGACTTGGAGAGACCGGGAGAGAAATTTATTCCTCTGTGTTATTAAAAAATTCATAATGCCCTGTGAGGCTCTGAAAAAATTTAGCGATCTTCACCGTCACTGTTTCAACTTTTTCGTGTCCTCCATGTTACTGCCGTCAGTTTAGGCTCTAACGTCAAACTGCAGATGTGAAAAATCGAAAATACCCTTAAGTCTAAATATGTCATTAATTTTTTTAGCATCTTAACGACTTCAAATAAAAAAAACTCAAAACTAGAAAGTTGTAGATCTCGTCGAAATCTATAATTTTCATATAAAAATTATCTTCATTTAATTCCACAAAAAATATGACTGATATGATTAATATATCTTAGAAAAATCATATCTTTTTTGCGGAATTAAATGAAGATAATTTTTATATGAAAATTATATATCTCGACGTGATCTACAACTTTCTAGTTTTAGTTTTTCTCATTTGAAGTCGTTAAGATGCTCAAAAAAATTAATGACATATTTAGACTTAAGGGTATTTTCGACTTTTCACACCTGCAGTTTGAAACCGTTAGAGCCAAAACTGACGGCAGTGGCATGGAGGACAAAAAAAAGTTAGAGCAGGGACGCTGAAAACCGCTGAACTTTTTTAGGAGCTCACATGACATTGCGATCTTTTTTAATGGCTCACAAGGAATTCCCCCAGAAAGAATGGGAAAGGACGAGCAGAGCGGGGGGAGGTGCTGCGGCCGACGCGCCGTGCGGGGGAGGGGGGGCGCTGCGGCGCCGCGTGGGCGGGCGAGGAGCTGCGGCCACTAGGACAACATGCGAGGGCGAGAGAGAGGGAAGAGAAGGAAGCACTGGAAGAGTCGAGACGGAGAGAGAGAGGAGGGCAGTAGATATTTTGGGTTCGCTGTTGGAGAAAGAAAATTTTGGGTGGGTAATTCAATGACTGTGCATGACTCAATTCTTAGAATGGGTCTTGTGTTTGGGTTTGGGCTGCTGGAGATAGTCTTAGAAACCTCGATGAGTGATGGAAGAAAGGAGGAGAGGAGGTGGCATAAATGGGCAGCTGGCCCTGGGACGCTATTTTTTACAATTTGGCCCTTTTTGAAAGTTTCTCACAAATAGACCCCTGACGGAAAGAATTCCAGAAATGGACCCTTAGCTCGACGTCATTGACGCTGGCGCCGAGCTAGGCGCCAGCGTCTCTGGCATCGAGGTCCTGGGCACGGTCGCTGCCCTGCCAGGGGGCTCGGCGCCAGAGTGACTGGCGCCAAGCTCGGCGCCGTAGATCTTGGCGTCGAACTCGGCGCCGTAGATCTTGGCGCTGAGCTCGGCGCCAGTCACTCTGGCGCCGAGCTCGGAAATATCAGTCGGGCCCGCGTCTTTCCTTTCTTCTTCTTCCTCTCTCGCCCTAGCTGAGCACTGCCACCGCCGCCGCCCTTGCCCGCACCATCGCCGCGCCCGCGCCCTTGCCCCCGCTCCCGCGCCGCTCCCGAGGCCGCGCCCGCCCCGCGCCGAGCCCACACCGCCGTGCCTGCTCCCGCGCCCGCCACCATGCCCGCGTGCGCTCCCCGAGGTCGCACCCCGCGCCGCGACCCCCCCCCTCGCCGCGCCGCGCTGTTGCCCGTGGTTGGGCGCCGCGCCGCCTCCACCGCAGTCCTCGCCTTGCCCTCCACCATCGGCCTCGGCCACGGCCCACCTTGCCGCCCTCCACCGCCGGCCTCGCCCCGTCTTGCCGCCCTCCACCGCCGGCGTGCCTCCCGCACCCGTCGAGCCGCACGCCACCGCTGTCGTTGGCCGCGCCACCGCCGGCCCGGACCTTCGGCCTGACCCACGTCCATCCTCCGCCGGCCCAGAAAGGTAAAAATTATGAATATGCAATGTACCTACTTAGTTGCCATTTGTTATTTATTAGTTAATGTGATGACTCAGGTAGTTGATTTAGTTAGTGATCTAGTGAGATATATATGTAGATAGATAGAAACATAGACACATAGGCATATAGATATAGTTAGATAGGTACTTCGATATGTAGTTATATTTTTAGTTATCTACATATGATCTAGCTATTTAGTGAGTACACTGTAAATATATACGTAGTTATTATCTTGATTACTTAGTTTGTAGTTAGAAAGTACTTGTTAGGTACTATCTATCATCTAATTTGGACTAAATGACATGTGTTTCGTTACGTGTTTGAATTAGATGGACAACCTAGTGACCATATATCATGGAGGCACCGTTGAAAGCGATCGCTATGGATCTGTTGAGTTTCTTGACATGCAAAGCGTGCCTGTGCTATTTAATGATAGGCCTTCATTTAGTGACATGGTTGCAAGGGCTTGGGAGGAGCTGCATTGCCTTGGAGATGATGACATTGCAGTTGATGGTGTACTGCACCTAGGTTGTCCTCTGAACATCTTCAGGCGAATGATCTCAATTGGTTGTGCGGATCAGTGGGAGAACTATGTAAGATCGGCTATGAAGAGCCAACCGCAATGTTTAGACGTGGTTGTGCGTCGGATGTTAGTTGATCCCATCCCTCATGGGTTTACCCCAGCAATGGATCATCAGGCATATATCGACCCTCCCGTTCCGGTACCTTACCTGCATGTGCAGATTGCACCTATGGTTCTCGATGCTCAATCTGCCCCCAATGCGGTATTTGGAGATGGTTGTCAGACTCATTTTTCCGTGGCAGATCCTCCTTATGAGATCCCTTTGACATGGAATCATCCGAGTAAGTGTCTTAACCGTATGGTTTTTGGGAGCTTACCCCGTTCCTTACATCTATTTCTTTCATTCTTTCCTTATTTCTGTAATGATGTTGCAGGAGACATTCCTGAGAATGTGGATGTACCCCCTGTTGCTGCGCAAGTGCACTTTGGAGATGGATTTCGTGGGTCAAATAGTGTTGAAATTATGCATGATTCGGAGCCATATGAGATGGCTAGGGCTCTTGATTCTGATGATGATCGCCCTATTGGAGAGCTGACGGAGAGTGATGTTGAGATGATGAGGCGTATCTTTCCTGGCCATCGTGATCCTAGAGTTCATGAGTTCAGCGATCTTGCTCATTCCGCACACGAGGATAGACCGAGCATACATTAAGTTCACGAACGAGCTAGACACGCTGACAGCATCTAGTGTAAGTAAATTTTATTTTCCATGCTGCTTTGAAAAGGATTAGTATACCATCTAACATCTTATTTGGACATGTTGCAGGTGGAGTGGAAGCCATATGGTGGAGAGGACGCACTTCCTTTTCAGCTGAGCAATGTTTGTGGGGCCGACGACGACTTCTATAGGATGAGGTGCCCTCTAATTTGTTTCTATGCTGTCGAGTTCCACCTGCCAGATAGGGTTGCACGCCAATTTAGAGTGAGACAGCTTTGGCCTACGGCTCTGTTCTCGACTCGCGTTGACTTACACAAGTAAGTGTTTTGATATTTCAAATGTCTCATGATGATTATCCATTTCTATTAATATGGTGACACATACATGGATTCATGTAACGATGACATATGTGCAGGTTAGATCGTTAGAGGAACAAGAAGATTTTTGACTGGGAGAGGCACCACCAGTCCTTGATTTAGGAATGGGAGGAGATGCACGACAATGTGGACGACAACAACGAGCCACACACGAACCGTGAGTTCAGGCGGTACCAAGCTTGGTACCAGCGTGCGACACATTGCAGGCTGAGGTCACAGTGGACCGAAGCTGACTACGTCGACATCGAGTCCTCCGACGATGAAGACATGGCGTATGACCAGTCGACTCGTGCAGGAAGGCAGGTGGAGGCGTATGTTAAGTTGCATAAGAATACATTAGGCGTTCTTGGACCGACATTATGAGTTATCTATTTTAGTTAGTGCCACATTCGAG